TCAACCTACTAATGTGTTTCTGGGTTCCTTAAAAAAAACATAGAACATATTATCATAAGCAGACTTGTAAAGTCTGAATACATTACTTATACTGTGTCATTTGATGGTATGGCCTTTTTAAGTCCATAGTATGATTTTGTAATCACTTGATATATTTTATAAAAAGGCTAGAGAGACTCAGCAGTTCAAAGCACTTACTGTTCTTGTAGGAGAACTGAATTCAGTTCCCAGCTCACAACAAACTGTAATTCAGAGTTTCAAGGGATCAGATACCCTTTTCTTCTCTGTGGGAACCAGGCATGTGGTACATATACATTTATGGAGGCAAACACTAATGTACATAAAAATAAACCATTTTTTTAAAAGAACATTACTTGGAGCTATGGTCAGATTTTTAGCTCTAGTTGTCTTCTCTAGATCTAAGATATGATTTACAGTGCTACCTTTCCCCAAAGACAATAGTTAGAAATTTCTATTTAACCACTGGCTCATTACAGGCACTCTAGTAATTTATAAATGGATTGTAGTGTTTAGCAAAATGATGATTTACTCTCTCCTCCTAAGTACTCAGAACACTGAACTCTATGCAAAACATGGTAAACAGATATGTCTGTGACCTCTTATCCACTTATATGAAGCATTATGTAGTAAATCATCAATTTTTGCTTCTTGTAGCCTTAGCTTTTGCCCTGTGCATCACCCAATTAATTTTAATTGGCCAGCATTCTTAGTAAGATCATTTTGTTGCCACCTGACCACCTTTGTGTTTAATGTAGACTACTTCCATACTGTGCCCTAAAAATTTTTTCCTAAGTGAAACTAGCAGACATTTTCAATGGTTCCTACAAAGTAGGAAATGAGGTGAGCTCTTCCTCAATTAAATGACACCATTTGATTATGTGATAGTTTGGCCTTATACTCTGTAAAAATGACCTCAGTTTAAACCTGACTGTAGCCCCTGAGAATTCATTGCTTTATTGGATCATTCTATGTACTTCCACTTTCTCTTTTTCTTTTTTTTTTTATTCTTTAATCTTTTTTTATAGTCCAGTCGTTATTCCCCCTCCCAGTCTGCCCACTGACTGTTCCTCATCCCATTCCTCCTCCCCCATCCACCCCCTCCACCCCACCTCACCAGACTTTCTCACTCCCTGGGGCCTCTTTCTCACTGAGTCCAGACATGGCAGTTCTCTGCTGTATATGTGTCAGGGGCCTCGTATCAGCTAGTGTATGCTGCCTGGTTGGTGGCTCAATGTCTGAGAGATCTTGGGGGGTCCAGGTTAGTTGAGACTGCTATGGGTCTTCCTATGGGGTTGCCCTCCTCCTCAGCTTCTTCCAGCCTTTGCCTAATTCAACCACAAAGGTCCTCGACTTCTGTCCATTGGTTGAATTGTCCATTGGTTGATTCTTTCAGCTGCTTGTTGGGCCTCTCAAAGGACAGCCATGCTAGGCTCCTGTCTGTAAGCACACCATAGCATCAGTAATAGTGTCAAGCCTTGGACCCTCCCCTTGAGCTGGATCCCAATTTGGGCCAGTCACTGAACCTCCTTTCCTTCAGGCTCTTCTCCATTTTTGTCCCTTCAGGTCTTTTAGACAGGAATAATTATGGGTCAGAGTTTTGACTGTGGGATGGCAGCCCCACTCCTCACTTGATGCCCTGTCTTTCTACTGGAGGTGAAAGTTCTACAAGTTTTCTCACCCCACAGTAGGGCATTTTATCTAAGGTTCCTCCCTTTGAGTCCTGTGAGTCTCTCACCTCCAAAGTCTCTGGTACATTCTAGAGGGTCACCCCACTTCCCACCTCCAGAGGTTGCCTGTTTTCATTCATTCTGCTGCCCCTCACAGCTTCAGTACTGTTTCCTCCCAATACCTGATCATGTTCCCTTCTTCCCCTCCCTGTCCCCTTTCCCACCTAAGTCCCTCCCTCCCTCTGTCCCCCATTATTGCTTTATTCTCTCTCCCAAGTGGGACTGAGGCATCTTCACTTGGGCCCTTCAGCTTGTTAACCTTCTTGAGTTCTAGGTATTCTGTACTTTTATTGGATCATACTGTGTACTTCCACTTTCATGTTACACAGGGCTTGGACATTTTCCTTTTAGAGACTTGATAAGCATTAAAGACTAAAATTTTCTTGATAACATCTCTTCCCTTAATCTTCTAGAAATCTAGATATGTTTATCCTAGTCCTGTAAGTACTATGATTTTTCATAGAAGATATTGTGCAGCATAGACCGATGTGTATATGCTTTCATTATTGCTTAGATGTTAAATGGACATTTATTATTAAAATCATTGCCATGTTAACTTAAGAATTTGTGTTATACCCTTTTTGTTCTTTTGGTGACAAAGCAGAATTGCAAAGTTGACTTCCATAAATATTTGAATCATGTTTCCTGACTAATTTGCATGAGTCCACACTGTAATTGTGTACATTAATCATTGCAACATTTGAACTTCTCAGCTAGATTTCTCTGAAAGAAGTAGAGTTTAGGGCTGGAGAGATGGCTCAGTGTTTAAGAGCACTGACTGCACTTCCAGAGGTCCTGAGTTCAAATCCCAGCAACCACATGGTGGCTCACAACCATCTGTAATGAGATCTGATGCCCTCTTCTGGTGTGTTTGAAGACAGCTACAGTGTATTCATATATAATAAATAAATAAATCTTTAAAAAAAAAAGAAGTGGAGTTTAGATCTTCATTAGGAGTCTCTTGCCTGCCACAGTATATTTATCCTTCTTACTCTTTAGTAATTCATTGATAGTGAAAAATATTGATCAACTGGCTAAGATAAAGTTCTGAATATAAAGCTAAGTAAAACAAAACTATCAACTTTCTAATGTAATTATCTCTGTGTGCACATGCATGTACTTAATGTGTGCATGTGAGAAAAAATTCATATCTGGTAGAGAAAGAAACATAGCAAATATATAGCATAATGTCTATAATTAAAATATGACACAGCTGAAAGGCTATGCATGATAATTCATGTCTGTAATACTAGGCGATTGAGACAGGAGAATTGCCACAAGTTTGAGACCAGCCTGGGCTACAGTCTTAAACCCTGCTTTATAAAAAGCCAAACAGCAGAATGAGAGCATGGATATTTAGCTCAGTGGCAGAACATTCACGTGGCAGGTATGAAGCCCAGCACTGAATCTCCATCACCCTGGGGCTAGGCAGGAGAGTTTAAACATCTTAAACATCTTAGTGTCAGAGAGATTAAGTAAACAAAAACATATTAGGAAATAGAAGTTCTAAAGAATATAGCTAGTAAGGTAGATCTCACTAATATCTATGAGACTTTATTTTGATACTACACATAATAAAGAATACACCATCAGTGCCTTAAAAATATATATCCAGAGTAAGATCAAATATTTTCATAAAATATCAATGGTTTCCATTAAATAGGAATCAGGCAAATGTAACAATTTGAGAATATTACAAAAGTAAACTATACTAACATAATAACAGTGGAAACCAGCAAGAGAACATCTGAAGAAGTCTAACAAGATTCTGTCTGAATTGAGTAGCCAGATTATCACCAGTAAATAAGAGATTTAACATCACACATACCTGATATAATAGAGTATGAACATAGCATCATTTCCTTGATATTCTTGCCAAAAGAAACCCTAAAACAAGCATATCCTCAAACCAGTGAGAACACACTAGATAAATCCCAGTTAGCAGGACACACTTCAAAATACTTGCAACTCCAAAGTATTTGCAAATATTCTCTAAGTGTCAGTCATGAAAGACAAGGAAAGATTGAGCAGTTGTCACAGATTAGAAGATACCAAGGAGGTGTACAGGATCCCAGGTTGAACTCCAAAACAGAAAGCCACCAAGGAATATTGGTGAAAATTGATTAGTCTATAGATTAAGCAGTGGTATTTTGTAAAGTTAATTTCTTTATTTAGGAGCCAGTATAGCAACTCAGGCCTGTAATTACAGCATTTATGAGACTCAGACAGGAGGATTCCTATGAGTTCTAGATCAACCTGAGCTACAGTGAGATCTTGTTTCAAAACTAAATCAAAATTTTCTAGAAAAAATAAATTATAAAAAAAAGAAAAAGAAAAATAAATTATAAAAAAAAGAAAAAGAAAAAATAAATTATAAAAAAAAATTCTGGTTTAGATAAATTTGTTCTAAGGCCAGGTATGATGGCACATGCCCTTTGTCCCATCACTGAGAACCAGTGGAAGGGAAGTCTCTTAGTTTGAGACTAACTTGGTCTGCATAGCAAGTTCCAAGTTAGCCAGGAATATGAAATAAAACCATGTTTCAAAACAAAACAAACAAAATTTAGAACAATTTACCCCAGGTCATTTAAGATGTTATTACTATGTGAAACTACCTGAAGGATATGTAAGAATGCGGTACCATTTTTATAATGTTTCTGTAAGTGTATAATTATGTATAAGTAAAATTTTAAATTAGATAATACCTAAGCAATTGTAAGTTGTCAGCAGATATTTGTTACTTTAATGGAGTTGAGGGTTGTTTCTTTTACTTAAAAAGAAAAAACTCTTTTGGAATAACCTATATTATTTATTTAAATTCAAGGAGACAACAACAACAACATTATTGTTGTTGTTGTTGTTATTATTATTAGACACCTACCCTTTATTAAATCCAGAAGAATTGGCTTTCCTCTTCCTGTGTCAAATCTTGCCAAACATAAATTGACCTACTAAATCAGGAAATGTTTGTCTTATTGGAAATACATGGGGAGAAGGAATGATCTTTTTAAAAAAGAGAATATTAGCTGGGCAGTGGTGTGCACACCTTTAATCCCAGCACTTGGGAGGCAGAGGCAGGTGGATTTCTGGATTTCTGAGTTGGAGGCCAGCCTGGTCTACAGAGTTAGTTCCAGGACAGCCAGGACTATACAGAGAAACCCTGTCTCGAGAAACAAACAAACAAAAAAGAGAGAACATTAAACGGTATCAGTTTCATAGTGATTTTAAAGTATGTACATTGTATCTTCCCAGGTATTCCGGAAGGACCTCATCAGTGCCATGAAAATTCCTGACTCTCACCATGTTAATCCTGACAGCTATTACCTCTTTACTGACACATGGAAAGAAGAATGGGAAAAAGGAGTCCAAGTACCAGCCAATCCAGACTCTGTTCCAACACCTTCTCTCAGGTATTGGCATGTTTACAACCTTGACTTTGGAAAGAACTCTCTGGGATTTTTTTAAAATTATTTCTTGGGGAGAAACTTACGAGTAGGTATACATTTCTAACATGTGAAGTTAATTTAACTCACAAATATACCACGTCATGATTGATGAATAAATTCCAGATCATTTATCTAAGAGATTCATAAGATAAAATGTTTTGAAGTACAATCTAAAATTAGGAAAAGGTCTTAGTTAGACACAAAGATTTCTATATCTGACTCAGCCATCAGTAGCATTTATTAGTCTTTGAAGAGATAACTTTCCCATAGGAAATTGCTTCAATATAACTGGAACCTCGTTAGTGATGGTACTAATAAGTGGCCAAAACATATAGTTTCTAAAACAGAAACTATTTGATCTTGTTTTTGATTTTTGTGGAAAAGAGTTTTAATTTCAGAGGAAATATTAAGCTCTTCAAGAGTAGTGCTGGTTTTAGAAACCATTTTGTCCTACTGGTTTTGGTGTTTCCAGTGCTTTACCCAAGTCTGAAATGAAGAAAGATGGTTCATTATAAGTTTGAATGAATGTAAGAATGAATAAATAGAAGACACAGCTCCAGATAAAGGGCTGGTAGACATATTGGTTAGTATGAGAAAGTATAGATCTTACTGTACATTTATTTCTACCTCTTAATTAGTTCCCCCTTCCCTTTTTTAAAAGATCTCACTGTATAGCCTAGGCAGGCCTTTAACTCATTATATAGCACAAAATAACTTTAAATTACTGTTCTTCTCCCTCAGTCCTCTGAGTACTGGGATCGCAAACATGTCACTGTGCCCAATATATGTTAGGTTCTTTTTTTTTTTTTTTTTTTTTTTTTGGTTTTTGGTTTTTGGAGACAGGGTTTCTCTGTGTAGTCCTGGCTGTCCTGGAACTCACTCTGTAGACCAGGCTGGCCTCGAATTCAGAAATCCGCCTGCCTCTGCCTCCCAAGTGCTGGGATTAAAGGTGTGCGCCACCACTGCCCAGCTATATGTTAGGTTCTTAAAGGGTAGAGAAAGTATCTTTAATTTATCTGCTCTTATCACCAGGTTCATATGTCCTATTTATGCTCTAGAAGTGCTTATTGGATCATTTTTAATAATGCAGGCCCAGGCAGCCGCACACTCTGTTAAGGAAAGCTTCCAACCCTTTTGTTTAACACACATTCCAAGCTTTACTTGATTATTATTGGTACCATCTCCTAAACAGAAGAACACCAGAAATGAAAACAAGTCACTGTTTTCATGTCTTTGTTATTATTTCTTTTTTTATTCATTTTTTACATCCTAACTACAGTTTCCCCTCCCTCCTCTCCTCCAACTCCTTCCCTCCACTTCCCTTCTACCTGCTTCTATCCACTCCTTCATTTCTCCCCAGAAAAGGACAGGCTTCCCCATGGATATCAACCAACTATAGCATATCAAATTGCAGTATGACTAGGCACCTCCTCTCCTATTAGGGCTAGGCAACCTAGTGGGAGGAAAGGGTCCCAAAAGCAGACAAAAGAGTAAGAGACAGCCATGCTCTCAGTGTTTGGAGTCCCATATAAAAACCAAGCTACACAACTGTAACATATGTGCAGAGGGCCTAGGTCAGACCCATGCAGTCTCCCTGGTTGGTGGTTCAGTCTCTGTAGCAACCTGTGAACCCAGGTTAGATGATTCTGTGGGCAATGTTCTTATGGTATCCTTGTCCCCTCTGGCTCCTACGATCCTTCCTCTTTCTTTCTCTTTCACAGGATTCCCCAAGCTCCACCTAATGTTTGTCTGTGGGTCTCTCTGCCTGTTTCTATCAGTTGCTAGGTGAGGCTTCTGATCACAATTGGGCTAGAAACCAATCTGTGAGTATAGCAGAATATCATTAGGAGTCATTTCATTGCCCTTTTTAATTTTTTGCTATTTATGTTTGGTTCTATTGTGGGTCTCTGAGCTCTCCAGCTACTGGATCTTGGCCCTCCAGGCGGTGTCAGGAGTGGGCTTCTCCCATGAACATGGGAGATCTTTCCATCTTCTGATAGCTTCTTCAGTTTCCTTCTTCAAGGACTTAAAATTGTTTGAAGGTTTTTTACTGTCATTCACACACACACACACACACACACACACACACACACCCCCTTGGTGCTACATATCCCATTAACACTCTAAGGATTATTGAAACACCTCAGTTGATGTTTGGTATTGATGTTAAATCAGTATATTATATACACTTTATGGAGGAAGTGAGTTTAATTTGTGGGTTAAGTCTCCCATGTACTATTTTAAATATTATAGCTATCTGATAGTAGTGCAATAAAATTAGTATGGTTTAGGAAGTATTAGAGACTGACAGTTTCCTCTCACAGTTAGAGACACGTGCTCCATTGGAAGAAGGATAGAGAGGAGAGAGACAGAGATCCTTGAATCTAATTTTTTATTTCTTCTTTGAGCACAAGTAGTAACGAACTGTACAGTCCACCTCCCTGAATGACCACCAACCACTCAAATTGCCTCTCAGAGTCCAGAATTTATATATCCTCTGAAAAGTTCCCAGAATTTCAAATGTCACACAATCACAGAAAATATCTACAGCTGGCAAAACCTCACCTCTGCTAGAGCACAAGGTAAATTATAGTCTGCTGCGGACAGTCCAAAGCAGCCCTATGGCCCAACACCTGGGATTAAAACAAAAGCCTATTCTTATAATATTTTTGTTTTTTAAAGAAACTAAAATTCTAGAATTCTCACAACACTCTAATTGATATGAGTGCTCTGTGGTCTAATATTTGTTCTGAGAGTTTAAGATATCTACCATTTATATGTTGTGATTTTTATTAAGTCCCTCTGTTTCCCATAGTTCTTTGCCTATCTTATAGAGTCCTTAATTTTAATTGATCAAGAGAAGCTACTAAATTTGGATTATACTAAATTCCTTATGAATTTATACTAAATTCCTAAATGAAATTCAAAACTGACTGCTCTTTTTTTTTTTTTTTGGCTTTTTCAAGACAGGGTTTCTCTGTGTAGCCCTGGCTGTCCTGGAACTCACTCTGTAGACCAGGCTGGCCTCAAACTCAGAAATCCGCCTGCCTCTGCCTCCCAAGTGCTGGGATTAAAGGCATGCGCCACCACTGCTCAGCAAAACTGACTGCTCTTGATAGGTAGACTATTTTTAGTTTCTTAGAAGAAATCAAGTAAGAATAATTCTGTAGTATATATTTCCTTTGGCATAGGTTCCTGAAGGATTCATTAAAACAGACTCCTTTTTAAAGTCCCAGTATTTGTGAAGCAGAAGTAGGCAAATACATCTTTTCAAGGCCAACCTGGGCTACCTAGCAAGTTTCAGACCAGCCACACTACATATAGTAAAGCCCTTTAAATCATATCTTCAGAACTTGAAGCCTACTTCCTTGTCCTTGGCCCATGTCAGATTCTTGCCAAGCAGCCCCAAAAGCTCTCCACATCTCCCCCTTTTTTATTCAATAGATCTGAAGTATAAGGCTTAAATGTGGTTTTGTTTTGTTGGTATAGGGTATTACTGTGTAGCTCCTTGCTACCGTCTGTGCTGGGATCCCCAAGTGCTAGGTGTACAGACGTGCAACACTACACTCAGCTAAGGAGTTTAAGCAGTTCCTTATATGGCGTTTATACTGATAGACTAGGGGTGTCATTTTGGAATGATTTTTATGGAATATGTTAATCCTATTTCCTGAATTTAATAAAATTTAGTGCATGCCTCCCTCCCTCCTCCTCTTCCTCCTCCTCCTCTTCTTCTTCTTCCTCTCTCTCTCTCTC